CCTCAGTGTTCCAACACCCAACGGTGCATCTACTTAAGGGTCTTAAGTGTGTGACTACACGAAACCAAGTGACAGTCCATCTGAGAAGCAGCATCCCCATAGAGATAGATGTCTTTGGTTTGTTCTGTTTTGTTGAAGCCACGTGGCTGGGGTTGGGTTGGTTTTTCTGTTTTTCTTTTTCCTGGTGATTTTTATTTGGCTTTCACAAAGTTAAAATGCACTGACCTTTTTGAGGGCTTTTTTAATTTTAAATCTCTCAGTTCAAAATCCATCTCAGGTGAGTCCTGATGGTTCTTGACTCTCCTTCTTGAGCCTTGGGAAGTGAGAATCTCGGCTTGATCAGCGCCCGGTGATTAAAGGTTGATTTGTGCGTTGTTCATAATCCAGGTCCTTTCCTTTGTTAACGAGCTCGAGCCATTGCAGAAAGGTGGTGCATTTTACAATTGACCTTCGTATGCTTTTAAAAGCAAGTCTACTTGATAATGTACTTTTTACTTGATCTCCAGTTGTATAAACTAATAAATTTGTGTTGACTGTCACTGCAGTAGTAACCTTATGCACACAGTGATTCCATGTTATCCGCAGAGTAGTTAGGCAAACTGTTTCCTTAGTTACAGAAATTGAGAAGCTTTTACTTTTGTGCAGGTAAAAAAAAAGACAAGAGTAGGCTCCAGTCTGTGCCATGTCCATGTACAGTTTCTGAAATTGTTTTACAAAACTTTGATAATAAAACCCTTAAACTTAATACTCGTGTTCCTCTAAACCTCTTGCTGGTATTTATTTACACCACTGAATGTATGACATTTACCTCAGTCATGTACAATATACATTTCTCTTCATCTTCCTACTTTAGAAAGACCAGACCAGCTCTTCACTGTCTCTTTATGAACTGGGCCAGAGCTGCTGAGCCAGCTGGTGCTGCTGTTGTTAGTGAAGCGTCTTACACTCAAGAGAAAATTCTTTTCCTTTCTGGGGTTTGAAGGGATTGGGCTGAAATGGGAAGCGAGAGGTACTGGAGGACAAGTGCTTTCCAAAAGAAATCTGGATTTGTACAAAGCTTTTGTATTTTCACTGAAATATGAACATTCACCTCTTGGGGCGGGGAGGACGGGCAGGAACAGGAAGCAGCACGTGCTGTGTGGGTCTGGAGCAGCTGTTAAAGAAAAACTCCCTGCTGATTTAAACCAGTAAGTGCTGGAATTACACTTTGGAATGAAGTGGTGCTGGAACTTGTTGCAGCTGATGAGTCAAACCACCACCTTCTTTTTAAACTCTCCTTTAGCCCCAGGCAAAGTGGAACTTGCCCTTTAGCCCCACGCTGTGTCATTTTTAGAATTTGTAGAAATGTACATTTTTAGCGACTGTTTTGAGTATTTTGTCAATCCCGAGAGGTCTGTGTCACCCCCCAGCTCTGGGTGGTGATTGCTAGTGGAGAAAGAAGGGTAGTTCTTGTAACAAAAACCAGACACAGGCACGGTGCACGGTGGCTCCAGGGCTGTGCCTTTTTTGTTGTCATCAAGATATTTATATGTGAAGTACAAGAACATAAATGGATTTGCAGTAATAAAGGAAACCTCCTTGATCCTTGGACCTTGGTGTGGTGAAAGTCATTTGCACGCTGTGACAAAAGGACCCAGGACGGGGTGGCTGGTCCCAGGGAGAAGAGGTGCTAGAGCAGCCAGTAACTTGCTAATTGTGAGTTGGAGGGTGAGGGAAGGTGGTTCTGTCTTTGCTTTGCTCCCTGTGCCTGGTCAGGCTGCAGCCAGAGGCAGCTGGTGTCACACCAAAGCTGAAGTTGTGGGAAAGTGGCAGCAGCAGCACAAATGAATGAGAGGCTGGAGATCAGCCCTGCAGAGAGGGACCTGGGGGTTCTGTCAGTGGCAAGTTGAACATGAGCCAACAGTGTGTCCTGGCAGCCAAGAGGGACACCCATGTCCTGGGGGCGTCCAGCACCTCGAGGGAGGGGATGGTCCCGCTCTGCTCTGCACTGGGGCGGCCTCACCTCCAGCACTGGGGGCAGTTTGGGCACCACAGGAGAAAAAGGATCTAAAGCTGTTGGAGAGTGTCCAGAGGAGGGACACAACATTGGGGAAGGGTTTAGAGGGGAAGGGTGTGAGGAGAGGCTGAAGGCACTTGGTTTGTTCAGCCTGGAGAAGAGGAGACTGAGAGGAGATCTCATGGGGGTCTAGAACTTCCTCCCCAGGGGCAGAGGAGGGGCAGGGGCTGATCTCTTCTCTCTGGCCACCAACAATATGTAAATGAGTTTTAAATTTACCAAATCCTTAACTAGAGAGGAATGTCCTGGTCTCCGCTCTGCGAGCTGAACACAGGCTGCAATTGGGGAGAAGAGCAACTCAAAGTAAAATAAAAATCATCAAAAAAACCTTTTATAAAGCAAAATGAAACCTTAGAAGTTCCAGGTTTTGCTCTCCAAGTCATCCACCGCTCTGCTGCGAGTCTGTTACCATCAGTTGTCACATCTTGTTATCTCACTGAACACACTTCTGGAGGGAGGAGATTACTGAACAGTTGAGCAAACTTTAAAGGCTTCCCTCTCTCCCTCCCTCCCCAGTAGCTATTTCTAAGCTTCTCCAGCTCCTCCAGTCAGAAGCTGCTGGCCATGTCCATCCCCCCCCTGCCTGTTACAGCCCCAGTAACACTGTGGAGCTTTACAGAGGGGAAGGACCAGCGCTGTACTGAAAACACAGGAGTTTATTGAAAAACTGACCAAGAAAATGCCCTCGCAGAACATCGCAGCGTCAGCTCGTCCCCTCAAATCCACGTACAGACCCTGAAAGAACTGGGCCAGGGGAGTTAAACTGGAGCAGTTTCATAATCAAACAGAGGATTTTGGTCTTTATTCTAACAAACGATACAACCAAAAATTACCATTAGTGAAGGGAAATTAAAAACATGGGACCAGACAACTAGTAAAATGCAAAAAGTGACATTGTTTCCATGATAATTATCGATCGTAAGGAAAATAAAGGTGAGGCTGCAGCATTACAGGAGGTTTGTTAATACAGATTAAATAATGCAGTTATCCGTACGTGAATTACAAATCAAGAACAAACACACTGAAAAAAAACAGACAGTTGCTTTGAATATCAACTTAACAAGGTGGGTTTCCAGCACAAATACATCCAGAGTTCTCTGTAATAAATCATTTCAACACATAAATCAAGAGTCGCAGTAAAGTGAGTACAGTGACTGGAACAGCAGCTCCTGGAAAGGAAAAAGAAAACACATTCCCTTTGCCACAAATTAAAGCAGTATCTTGGAAGACCAGTAAAACAGTTTGGTTAAGAAACAACTCGAGGAATCCTTTTGCAACAATTTCTTCGTTGAGTTTTACCCAAATGACTGGCTGTTCTTTAATTACTCACTCATAAAACCCCTCACAGCCATCAGAAACAAATCAATCCACAGTGAGATCAGGAACGATGCCCCCAACTCTGCAGGGAGCTGGTGTCTCCCACCACCCTGGGGGAGGTTTCCTCCTCCACCCACCTCACTTGTCACCTTCACCTCAAAGACCCACCACGGTGTCACTGTGTGTCCTAACGGGGTGACTCTGACCCAGCCCAGTGCCAGCTGCCTTGGTCATCCCACCTGTGTTAGCCCTAAATGACACGGCCCAGCCCAGCTGGTGTGTCCAGGAAGGTGTTTTCAGTCGCCCACGTGCTCTCATGTGAAGTTCTCCCGTTCCAGGGTATCTTGTTGCGAGTCCCGACACGTGCACAAGTCAAATCCAACACGAGAAGTTAAATCCAACCGAGACCACCTCGGCACAAGCACCGTGGTGGTCACTCTGCAGGGGACCAAACCTTCCCTGACACCCAGCCCGGTCTTCAGGAAAAGAAAAGGGGAAAACCCAAAGTTGAGTTTTGCTAGAAAAAATGAATTTCCAGAAGGTTTTGGGACAGGAGGTGGGAAGCGGGGAAGGACAGCGGTGCCCTCAGCGCAGCTGCCCCTGCACCAGAAACACCTCAGCCACCCGCAGGGCTGGCAAAGCTTCTCCACAGACACATCCAGCCCGACAGACACCCGCTTCGTGTCAGCACAACACAAAACCCTGGCGAGCAAATAAAATCAGTGGATAAAACATCGATAGCGGTGCCAGGGAGTCACCCCAGAGACCTGCAGCAGCACAGCCGGGGACAGAGTCACCCTAGAGACCTGCAGCAGCACAGCC